CAAAGGTTAAAAGATGAAGTGCGGGGTAAGTGTTTAATTCTCTGAACGAAGCAGTAGTATTTTGGGGCATCCTACATCTGTAGCCTCAATAATTGTTAGATTTATAGAATATATCCACCAGTGTAGTGTATCTCTAGACTATGCTCTTTGCGGGTTGAAAGGATATATGTCCTCGATTTCTGGATTAATAAAAACCGTTTTGCAACGGAAATAGTAGCATGGATACTGTCTGGTTCACTGCACCTATCATCGTTGGTCATATTGCGTCATCCATGACCCGAGTGAAACCTGTGGGGAGTTGAAGGATATTTTCCTTGTTTTCCGCAAACGTTTTTACTTTTTTTATTGCATCAAAGACTTATTCTCTGAAGGGGATATTGGACCCCACCCTTGGTTTTCCAGTATCGAAGTTAAAGGCTGTTATTTTCAGCTGTGTTTAATTGTAACCGCGTGTCAGATATTTTTATTATTTTTAGACACCCTTTGGATTTTCTGTGTAATTTTATCTTGCCTTTTGTATTTAGATTTAAATCAAGAACTCAGTCATCGCTCCCGTGGCCAAACTTCCACTGATACTTTAACTCAGTTTCCAAATGCTGTTGGACAGTCTAACATAGGTAGCATGTTTTTGGTGATTCTTGCATCCACTCGTATTGCGCTTTAGGTGAAGTTGGCCTTATATTTGTATGGGACAAGTCGTTTAGTAGGCAGCTTCGTAAGCTGGCAGGTTACACAGGCGTCGTAACACAATATCAGCCTTTTTGAGAGTTAAACATAGGTATTTGAGGTATAATGACTCGTTCACTTTTTCGTGTTTTGATAAGAATTCGTCGGCTGCTGTAGTTTCGTAACGTTCGTGTTGGTTGCCTATCGATGCATGCGGCTAGTAATTTGTTTACTTTGCGGGTTGTAGCACTCCTAATCAGTTGCCTGGTTGTAATTTGATTCGCTTAACTGTACTTTATTTAACCATTTGTTCAGGTAATATGTAGTCTAACTTATCGTTTCGTGTCTTCGCGATCTTCCTTTGGACTATACGAGCATCAAACAATCAGTATCTGTTTTTGTTGAGTTACGAGGACTTCAAATACCTTACCTAACTATCTCCGTTTATAGGTACCTCAGAAGCCTGTATCCAGACGGATAACAACAGAACTCCATCCGTTGCTGTCAACCCTCGTTCCCTCACTCCTTCCACGCGCATAGCGGCCCTCAACCTCGTCAGCGATCTCCTTCAGAAAGTCGCTGTGAGTGTACACAGCGGGGCGTCAGTATTTGTGTTCTTGGTCTTTTCACGCCAGTGTAGATGCACATGCATGCATGTAGATCTTGCAGGATTCTCACAGGGGCCAAACCTGGGCGTGATTACTGCTCCGCTGTGGCTAAGTTCACATACTACTATAAGGCTACGAGTTGCGATTCTCACCACAGCGTTTCTCTCGGCAATGCACAGCGTTTGTATGTTACATTCCAATAGGCGGTCCACCTCTTAACTACGTTGATAGTAAGCAGCCCTTCATAAAGCCTCTAGTTGTATTGGGGTGTTATTGTTTGGCAATCCATTTTCTGCTCCAATGAGGCCAATTAACATCACTTGTTCACTGCATATTTTTTGTTTTCCCTACTTATTGCATGCAGTAATTAGGTTGGTGATTTGAGTCTTCTTCTTCTGCGTAATTGGCTGGATTTATATTCGGCGAGTAACTGTTCTTCACTTTGTTTGATTTATAATTTCAAGTTTTATGGTCCACTACCTGTCCGATTAGTTGGAGTTTAGCATCAGTCAAACAGAAGAGTAAGTTTAACTGTTCGCATTCCTTGTCCATGATTTTAGCCACCCTGCCCCATATTTCTGTGAATTTTTTCCACGTAGTTACCTCTACACGTAGTCGTCGAAGGAACTCGTTTATGGCGAATAGCCACCACGATTGATTGTTCCGGTGAACTGCTAAGGCTATCGCGCAACTGAGGCTACTTACCTCCTGTTATGCTCATACCTACGATGGTTGTTGTTGTCTTCAAGGCCTTTTCTATCATGTGATAATCTTCGTTCACGTCTATAAAATTTGTACTTAAACTCACAGGTATAGTGGTGGCCAGTCACCTAGTCGAATGCGATAGGTCTTCGTGGCGCAAAACCAAATAGGCTAATCGGTGTGGTGGAGGGGGAACAAAGAACAACCGACCACCAAAAGGCGATTCGGCGGAACTCCTTGTCGACATTACTGTCACACCTACTCGATAAACTACCGCCCAGGTAGTTCGAGTTGACGGCAATTTGGCTGTGGTTGTTGGTCAAAATCCCACTCAGTGCTCTGGAAATTTCTTAATGGCCTTATACTACTTATTAGATTGCTTTTTGAACTCTATTTGTCGCAGTGTACGACCCTGAGTAAAATAAATTAACTTCATTAAAGGATTAATTTGAGGTAAAAAGTGAAACGTGAATTATTTATTCCTTTTTTACGCTAAATCTGTTCTCTGTCTCTCTGGATTCATGTGGCTGCAAAAGTCGAATTGCAGTTTTAGTTTCAGTCTGTTCATCAATTACTTGCCAACTCAGCTCCACATATCAGTTCATCTTCTCTAATTTTACTCGTATTTTTGGGGTCTCCCATAGTTTCCTTCCTCATTTTCTGAATAAAAAATTCCGTGCTGTTTCGGGAGTTCACGAAATCGAAGAAAGTGAATTATCAGGTAAAGACCGGGAGTGTGCACACACGTACGTACGCATGGGAACGACGTTTGAGACCTTGTTCTTTCAAGGGGAACACTAATGTCTCGTCTCCGCAGCCGTCATTGCTCAGAACTCAGCTGCACTGGACTTAGGTAATAAATATTTGCCAATTTAGGTACTCCTCTTTCCTAGACGTCTATCATTCGTTTTAAGCAAATACTTTCTAGTGACTATGGTGTCATCTCCATCAATTTTAAATGTTGTCTCCACAGTACCATTGAATTAGCGTGACAGGCATCAACACAGTGCAACGTCTAGGTGCACATCCCCCAATAGCCAACGCATTTACCGGACAAATCTAGTACGAAGTCTTCTCATTCTTTCAAATTTGCGCCTACGGGGAGGTGCTAATAATCGGGTCATTGTCCCCTTGCTAGAGGTACATTTGGTTTCGGGAACTCGCCTGCACTTTGCACGAACCATCAGTTTTTCCTCAAGCCCCTCTGCCTCCTTTCAAGACTCTCGTACTGAGTTTTCCACTGATTCGTCTTTCCGGAGTATCGTGTGGTCCTGAGGTCGAGTCGAGAGAGCTTGCTGAGTTACTATGTGTATTTCTGCCATCCAACGCGCTGCTTCCCTCCTGTTTTCGTAGTATCCTCTTTTCCGCCAATACTCGGCCCCCTTCACACTTGGGTCCATTTTAAGTTGACTGACCAGTTTTACAGACCCACATTTGCATCCCAATTTGATGCTTATTTGCCTGTGGTGCGCCATTTGACAACGAAGTGGTGGTATATGCTAATTAAGGAGCGTGGTCTTGACTTGTGTTTGTGTGTGCAGCTGCCATCGTTCAGTGCTTACTCATTCATCAGCTTCATTTTTGAGTTTATCTTTTTGCCTTGGTAATTAATGTTGGGTCTCTATTTTTTTAGTCAATCTACTTCCATTTGTTGAATTGGGCTTAATACTTTTGAGTGTTCCATAGCATCAACAAACGTCATGTTATTTTAGTACATTAATCCAGTGAATTTCAGTCTCCTGAAATTAAACAATTTTCTAAATATTAAGTGATTATTCGTCCATTGCACACAATGTACTTCGTGCAAAGTGATTTTATTGCCCGAAAAATGCTACTAAACATGACCGTTGTCGGGTCACCTAAGATTGGTCTCTATTTGAATGAAGAGAGATCTCAGTGATCACACTTTTCTGGAATTTAATAGCTAATCATTTAATTGTGTGTTTATTCGGGTCGAAATCCCCTGAAAGAAGCAGATACCGAATTCAGACTGGTCTATGCCGTGTAATTTGAAGCGCCATTCAACTTCCTTCCATTAATGGAGGCGATGTTTTGTGCACCAGCGAATAATCCACGATACTAGTGGTAAGTAGGAGCGTGGATCCCACTTTCTCGTGGACTGCTGGTGCTTTGCTCGCATGACTAAATCTACGCCGTGTACTTTTGTTGGTTGGATTTACTGCTGCGGCGGCATCTCACCAACGGCCAAGATTGTGATCTCCTCACAGTGTCACGTGTCCGCGCTGTGCTTCCCACCACTTTTCATCTTTACGTCAACCTACACAGCCTTCTCCTGTGGGTTCCCTTCCACGAGTTTTTACAGTTGATTTTGCCTTTTCACCATGTTTTGTGACACAAAAACTCGTTTGGCATCATCAATGTTGTTATGTTGGAGACATTCTCGTACGTCAGCAGATCCTGAGCTCACCAAAACCTACGCTCTCCCAAATGCCGGTCTGGTAATGCGTTGTTAACTGTACTTAGATGCGTGGGCCCTTTATTCCCAGAATGTTGCGTTTTGATAGTCGGAGACTTGGCCACGTCGCCACAAGATTTCCGAGCACGCGCCACGTAATGCCCACCGGTGGTGGCTGCATGTTTATTCGCCGTCACGTGCCTTTGACGCTTTTGTGTGTAGGCGAGTGTGGTTGTCATCAGCGGAGGTGCCTGTGTGCCACATTCTTCCGTCTCTGCCAAACTTGCTCACACACCTACTCGCTTGCTTCTCGTCTCCTCTCCTTTTTCTCTAAAGATGGCACACCGTTTTCGTTCTGCTACTTTTCCTGTAACTAGTTTTGAGACTTGATTCACGTGAGGTTCCTCCATCTGATCATATTTCTTTGTAATTCGTCTTTGATGAAATCACTATGTATTGTAAGGACCACAATTCTGTGGTGCATTGTTTTTATTGGCTTCAGTGCTTGGCCTCTAACAGTGGGCGACCATAAAAGGTATCAATGGACACAGGAGTTACGCCACTAGAGCTCTATACCCAGCTTTGATCAGCCTCCGAAACCTATGTTGGTCAGGGCGCCACGAGTAGCTCTATCGGGGGATGGGGTCGGTCGTAGGTTGCCTGGTCCCATTTTCAGTCTTCGATGGAGCCGTATCTCTCGATGCACCAACGTCCCGTTTATTGTTGACACGTTGTCACAAAGATTTATGCTTGTTAAGCTTTTCTAATGCTTCGTAGAAAGCCATATCTTCTAAACCTTAGGATTATTTACTTTTTTTGAGGTCTGTTTTTCGTGCGCGATATCGCAACTTTTCATCTTTTAGTTTGACTTGAAGAACTTCTGTATAGATTACTTAATTAATTAATGCATCGTATTTCCCAGTTAGTACACTTAATTTATGTGTAGCCACAATCCGAGTTAATGTGGGCTTCTGCTTACCCCATTTACTTGAGGAGCTTGGCCAGGTTCAAGTGCTACAAAGTAATTTTATGTATACTGACATGTTGGTAGTAGCAATACTATGGTAATGTTTATATTTGACTTTTGTCTTTGAATCTCTTTCAGCAACTCGAGGCTAATTTCGCTCATGTTTGTCGCTGCTACGACGCAATTCCCACAAAGATTGCCAAATTCAATGATCAGCCTGCTCCAACTTCGGCGGCAAACGGTGTGTGACAGGCGAAAAATTTTCTCCTTCATCTACTACAGGTACGTTTCCTGGTCCCACGCCTAGATTGCGCACACGGTCTTCGAATTTTTCGCCCATAGCCTCCGATTACCTTCCAGCAATGTTGCGACGTTTCTGCCATTGATATTATGGAGTACACTTTGATAGCTGGTGGCAGCATCACTATTTACCGGTCGTTTGTGCCCACTCGAACCGTTAAGCACCTGACGACCAAAAGGCGGGGCAATTCAGCGTCCTGTTCCACGCACAGGGTGCTATGCTTGCTTCTGGTCACTTCGAAACTGGGCCACGATAAATTCTCTGGATCACTTTGCTAACACTGAGCCTTTCGCACATGCCGCTCACAAATCACCTACCTGAATGTCTTGTATATTGTTTACTGGGAAAAGTAATCAGTGCATTTAGGCACTTAACTGAAAAACTCCTAACTCTCATTCGTCCCTCACTCATTCCTCCATCATCGTAAATTGGACCACGCACACATACCGCCCGCGTCCTGTCCGGGCACATTTGGTTGCTGCAATATCAACAACCAGAATACTGCCCACGATGACGTAAGTCATGGTTTCCATTGACGGCATAAATTTCACAATATCTGGGCGTTATTTCAACCATCACCTGGATTAGCGATTGTTAGCATCTACGAATTATCAGAACACCTGCTTAATAATTTCATATGCAAAATCGAATCTGCAATTAATGATTTCAACCTTAATATTGCCAACGCGTTGCAATTTCCTCAACTTTTTGAATCGATAACCTGTGCACACCACAGTGGATCTGTTTAAATGCTTCTGTTAGAAAATATTACCACTTTCTCCAAATTTAAGCTTGTTAAACAGCTCAATGCACATCAAGTGTACGTAGATTATAGTGGATTACCAGAACCTGACAGCCAGATTTTTTGGTCCAGTTGGTCCTACGCCCTCGTGTACATGCTGGCTTCGCTCCATTCTGCGGTCGCGTTACGCTGCACTCCATCTTTCTCATCGCCTTACTCCGCTCTCGGTTGCCTTCTCGGCGTGGATACCCGGCGGCCGATTTCTTTCCTTGCCTTTATTCCTATTCCCATAAGACATTAAGTAGAGGTTCACTTGATTCAAGTAATCATTTGACTTGATTACTCTGGGTTTATGGTGGTTGACAACGCGACTGTTCTCCTGTAGGATAGCGGACTAACTCGAAGGCATGATCGAATTCAGCAGCCGGAAAACGCCAGTGTTCGTTTCTCCATGATGAACGGAATAACTTTGGCTTTGACTAATTTAAACTTCGAAGTAATTGGTTTGTTTCAAAAGATTACTAATACGCAAAAAAATTAAATATTCACAAAATCAGTCAAGTTGTACTGATCTCGAGCACGAAGAGCCATTCTAAGGTTCATAAATGTGGCTCAATAGCCATCGCTGCATTATGGCATCATTTTTTACAGGTACTTGCAGCAAAGAACGACCGCTCGATCAGTTGATGACCGCTCTACCCCATTTTCGAAACCCAGAAGAAGAGCTACCACGCACACAGTATAGCTCCAAGAGCGTGCTGTACTTGAAATTGCCCGTTTGTAGAGTTGTGTGTGCCCAGGCCCCTCAAGCGTTGATCCGGGCGATCGACAATCTATTGCTACATCTGTAAAAAGGTGTGTTTGCCCCCCAAAAAAACCTGATCCCGAACATACCGAAAACTAGTATGGTTGAAAGTAGAAACTTTAATGGTATATTAGGAGTTTGGGCTCTCATATGATTTATACACGAAGCAGTATCCACTCGTCGATTGTAGAGACGAGCGTTCCCATGGCTGAAATGGGCAGACATGAAATCGTTTTGCATACAAAAGTTAGAAAAACAAAACGCAAACATGGGTATTTTTATTTACATGCCAGTTACTCGTTAATCTCCACAGTTTTTGTCTTCCCTGCCTTCTTCAACTGCTGTTTTTTCTTGCGAAGAATTGCTGCCCTTCTTTCTTGCTGTGCCTTTTGCAAAATCGCATACTGACGGCGCTGTTTCCTAAAAGAAAGAGGTGCTTGACACAGGTGTTCAATTCGAAGGCTATTTTAAGTGCATGAACAAAGTAATTTGTCTCCTAGCTACGTTAATTATTGCCTCACTTCAAAACGAAAAAATTCATGCTAGTCTTAGAGGTCCCGAGTAGAGCCCTAACTATTGTTTCTAAATGAGAAAACAGAATTGTCATTTCATGGATGAACTCAGACTCCGGTTTAAATTGAGGCTAGAAATTAGTTACCGGGCAGAAACGGACTACAAGAGTCCTACCAATGTGGTGGTTCCAATATGGGGAGATGGGTAATGCGCCACCGCATAGCGGCTTCCTCAGCGCTACCTTACAACCCTGCTAGTCAACAGCCCGAGAAGAGAGGCAAGACCGATGATAGCCCATATCACGACTTAGTTACATTTGCCCACCCAAGTCTTTTATGGAGGAGTGTGTGAGTGAATATCGAACGTCAACTGTGATCGACAATCGACTACATTCGATCAACTTGCGAATGCGTTTCACTCGCGCCCGCCTGAAGAAGGTTCACTACATGCCTTTATTCACCACTTTATTTGGCACATGCTCAAAAAGGCCGACACCCCCCTTAGGTACACTGACAATTTAAAAGCCGAGACAAAATCTTACTCATACATGCATGCTATATTTGGACCGGCTAATTAATGGTTGTAGCTACTTTTCCAGCTTGATGGGTTACATCAGCATATTCCCACTCGTAGCTGAACAACAAAAGATAGATGGCCGTGTGGCCTCAACATCGTCATCCAATCAAATAGGGGGCAATAGCACGCTCCTGCTAGGCGCACCTCATGACTGTACAAACTGGGACCCCTTTAAGCCAATTTACAAAACGGTTCAAGGAAAAACAACAAGGACTTATCCAACACAATAATATCCCAGTTTAGACCGCTTAATTAAACACTTAGAAGAGATACAATTTGCACATACTTAAGTAGCTATGGGCCCAAGAGACGCTGTTCCGAAATTTCGGGAGAAAATATTTATGAAATGTGTACGTAAGAAAATATGTAAACTAACTTCATGTATTCGGCATTGGCTAGCAGTTCATCTACCAGATTCTTTTTGCGCTGCTTGCGAGGAATACGATCATAAAAGGATCCGGGATCATCAACGACAGTGCCAACCTAAATCAGAAACAAAAGAGTGCATGACATTGTACAACCATATACTAACACTTAAATAAAGATAATGACAAACCTGGAAGTGGGTTCTTCGTCCATCTGCTTTCCGAGTATGCAAGTCGAGACCCAAAACACGTCGCTTGGAAATTATTTCGAGGTCATCTTTGTTCTCCTGTGTCAAATCACCTCGTGGTAAATCGAACCATTTTGACAGCTTTGCCTTCCTAAGAGCCTAAACAACAATATGTTAAGCAAACAGGTACGAAGCAAAAAAGGATACCAAAATGCAGTTTACCTTGCGCTCGCGTTTGACCTCCCGTCTTGATTGAATTGGTGGAACGGATTTCGCGTAATACAGACTCTGCTAAGAGGGCATTCAGCAAAGAATTGTGCATACCGGTATATTAGTGATAGACTCTGGTGCCAAATCAACCACATCTACCATTTCAATTTTGCTTTCGGGATTATTAAGAATACCAAGCCCGTCCCAAATTTGTTTTTCAAACGCAGGCGAAATTTTTTTCGTTTTTGCCTTCCCAAAAGGATTCTTCAGAAGGTAATAAGGAATGGGATTGTCTTTCAGATACTCGGAGGAGCAGTCTGTTAAAGAGACTGGCGGCTTCCACCTTAAGGTGAAGAGGGGCAGCGGTGTACTTTGGACAACTTTAAATAAACACCATCAACCGCTGTGTATGCAAACACATCACAGGAAAATTGAAAGAAAAAAACATTACGACCGAATTTGAAAGATACCCACTGAAGAGTGAGGCAATTCCCCCTCCCTACTTTTAGTTAAAAACAGATTTTGTGTGCCGAACTAAGCCATAAATGAATTAACCTACTTATAGTGCTGAAAAATTATTACCACGAACAAACCCAACTAAACTCAAGCATTCTAGAATTCGTTACATCGGGTTCGGGATTCACCGTGAACGGGACTACTAAGGACCTCTAAGCCCATTTTCATTATTTATTACGAAACTACACACGAAACAAAACCAAGAGTCAAAAGCGAAAATTTGTTTCGATGGTAAATCCATCAGATTTAAAACATGCAAGCAATTGATCGTAGCTGACTGCTAAATAGAGGGACGACAATGCGCTAAATTTATATACACATGCTAAAAGGCAGGCAAAGCTCTTCACACAAAAATCCTTACGTGTAGTAACATTAATAAGACCCGATTATGATATTTGTGACTATCATAAATATCAAGAAATGGCGTGCTTTAGGAATCGAGGATGTACCGCCGCTGTCTAAAGGATGACGCACAGGCAATTTTACAAAGCCAACACGAGTTAAAAGAAAAATTACTGCAGGAATATAATTAAAGCACAGAAGGACTCACAAGCGCGGCCCAGAAAAAACAACCAAGTCATCTTCTGGCACGTCCATTAATGCTCTTACGATTTAATGCCGTATGTCGTGTGTTGTGACGTGGTGTGATGTGGTGTGTTGTGGTGTGGTGTGGCGTCGGATCAGGGCGGAGACATGTTGGACCACCTGGCCTCAGCCAATCCCGTGTCTCTCTACGATCCAATGGCATGCGGGAAAGGAAGGCAGCCAACCAGAGAAGGACATGGATGAGATGCAGTATATAATGAGCGGCGTAGCCAGCATCGTGACTCGGATGGAAGGCGCCTGACGCGTGGCTCTGGCTTCTGATTAGTCAATAAAACCTGTTCTGTTGTACCGATCTTTTGCCTATTAGGGCTCGGGTATTCTACAGTGGCGTCGGATTAGGGCGCAGACATGTTGGACCACCTGGCCGCAGCCAATCCTG